TTTTGCCACAATTCTAGTAATTTTGAAATCACTAGCACCAATATAATATTTTACATATATTTCTACATTTTGTTTGTAATTATTCATTTTTTTATAATTATTAAGGTTATTTATATACAATTAATATCAATGAACTTAATTGTATTAAATGGTATAGATATCAATAAAAAAGTGCGAATTGTCGTTTGTTTAAAGATATTTATATAATTAGAAAAGTTGTTTTTGAACCTTGACTTAATTTGTTAATAAATGAATTAATTATTTGATTAAAAACATAAACAATGCATAATTTTACAATTTTTTAAATGATAATTCCTAAACCGGTTTATGTTTACATTCGGTTTTTGTATCAATTTTAATAACTTTGATGGAAGAACTAAAAATGTGTTTGTTAAAACGTTGTTCATTTACAATTATTTAGAATCAATTAGAAAAAAAATAGGGAAAAAGTTTACTATTATTAGGAATGAACTAAAATTTTCATCAAAATTGTATCATATAAGTAAATAGACAAATAAAAGTGTGAAAATTAATAGAAAAATGCGATTATTTACAATTAGTGTCAATGAAAATTGATTATTTTCAAAAATTCTAGGAAAAAATATAGATTTAAAAATTTTTAATTGACAAATACTTGAAAATGTTTATTTTCTTCTCAAATTTTATTTAGTTACTATTACTATAAATTTATTAAATTTTGCTAACTTATAATTTTAAAAATACCAGCACAAATATGTATTTAATACTTTTTTTGGCAATTTTACATGTATTTCAACATTTTGTTTTTTTTTTTCGTTTAATTTAATAGAAAAGTTCAATTTTGCCAAAATTCTAGTAATTTTGAAATCATTGGCACCAATATAATATTTTACATATATTTCTACATTTTAATTGTAATTATTCATTTTTTATAATTAGTAAGGTTATTTATATACAATTAATATCAATGAACTTAATTTTATTAAATAGTATAGATATTAATAGAAAAGTGCGAATTGTCGTTTGTTTAAAGATATTTATATAATTAGAAAAGTTGTTTTTGAACCATGACTTAATATGTAAAAAGATTATTTAATTAATTGATTAAAAACATAAACAAGGCATAATTTTACAATTTTTTAATTTTTTAAATGATAATTCGTAATCCGATTTATTTTTACATTCGGTTTTTGTATCAATCTTAATAACTATGATAGAAGAACTAAAAATGTGTTTGTTAAAACGTTCTTTATAAAGGTTGTTTATTTACAATTATTTAGAATCAATTAGAAAAAAAATAGGGAAAAAGTTTACTATTATTACAAATGAACTAAAATTTTCATTAAAATTGTATCATATAATTAAATTACAAGAGAAGTAAATTAGTTTCAAATATTTTCATTTTCTTAACTTTTAACACATATTTTGACTTGTTTTTTTTTCAATTTTTATAATATACCATGAAGAAAATTATAAAAGTAATCTTAATATTACTACATATTTTGACTTGTTTTTTTTCAATTTTTATAATATACCATGAAGAAAATTATAAAAGTAATCTTAATATTACTACATGAATAAGTTGACTAAAATAATTTGTATTATATTATATAAATTTATAGTATTTTAGTTATTGGTTTTATCTAATTGATGATTAATGTTTGTATATGTATATGAAATGTGGTGGATGCGCCGGGATTATCAAACGAATTTCTCTCTAATCCTATTTACTATAATACGTAATACGTCTGCAAATCGGGTAGCATTGCAATAGTAATAATGATGATAATAATAAGGTGAAACGGGGGGGTTAATTGGATTTGTAATATCTGGTGCGGACATAACAGGAGGTTTTCTTTAAATGCGAGGTGCATGCAGTTTCGGTCCCACTAAAAGCAGACAGAGGGAATTAATTAGTTCCAGAGGCAAGCAAAACCGAATGCATCCTAAAACCCGTGACGACCATAGCAGAATAAAAATAATAATAATAAGGGTGATGCAGTGCATGCAGATAATTCTGAAGGGCGTTTAGGGGATGAGGAGAGCGGCGTGGGACTGGCAGTAAATTTTTAATTAAAATATGACCAGAGTGGCGCAGCTCCAAATACACTCATTCTCTCTCTCTCGCGCGCGCGCGCTTTCTCTCGCTCTTTCTCTTTACGAAACATGATCAAACGACGCGTTTCCGGATTTAATTGCACGCCGAAAACGTCGCGCTCCTGATGCAAATGTAACTGGGATCTTCCAACGCTCAATGATTTCTCTGTTCCTCGTGACACACATATCATATACACACACATGCATGCATGCATGCATACATTCACTCGACCCGAACGAATGAGAATCCGCGTTTTGTTTCACATTTGATGCAGACGACTGGAAATATGCAGAGGATGCATCCGAAATTCTCCAGCTGCCGCTCGCTCTTCCCAAAATCCCGTGACTACCAAATTAAGTCGCGTAATGAAATAGACGGATTTGTGCTCTGATTTGAACAAAACTGTTATTATATTATGATGTCAAACATTTTCCATTGAAAATTCACTGTATTGTCGTGGCCGACCAATTTATTATCATCTATTGTATAACTAATATGTATATTTGTTAGGGCCATGACTTTCCTCTTAATTATTATAAATCATATTTCACGTATCCATCAAATATACAAACGGATACTAGTTCGTGATTATTTAGAATAACTTGTGGAATATTTTATCTCCACTCAACAGCCGTCTTCAGCCCCTAAATATTTGGGTAGGATCATAAAACTTAGATAAAGAAACGGTTGTATATTCCACAAGCTCAACATTGATTTCCTTACCTCTCACACTCCCACTTGGAGAGTCCAAGGAAGAGCATTTACTTCATAAATACTAACTTAAGAGGAGAAGGTAACTCCTTGTAATAACCCATGAGATCAACTATTGTATAGTTGACTTCTCAATAAAATTCCGATGTGTATAATAAAGTTAATTAAGAAAATTGCATAACGACATAACTACGACAATATTTCAATAATTATTACACAAAAAAAAAAAGACAATTGTCTAAAGCAATGATCGTATATTTAAATTTGACACTATTTTCAAAATAAAACAAAAATATATAAGTTTTCTTTTAGAAAAGTTTAGAATTTCGCACACTTTGATACCATTTCATATAAGTAATAACTAAACTATGGTTATTTTTATCACCATTTACTCAATGATTTGATATCTGCGTACGTTAATTTAATCATAGAATGGTCTTTCTTATTAGTGTATAACATTTTGTCTTGTCATGTAAAAAAAATCGTTTTTTTTTAATTCGAAATTATTATTTATGTAAAAGAATCGATTTTTGAAAACTTTATGATATAATATTAATTTTTATTTCATGTTTGAATATATTTTTGTTATGGATTTTGAAAAATTACATCAGAAAATATAATAAATTCTACAAATTTTTGATAAAATTAACTTTACATAATTACTATATAGATATTTAGATGAACTTGATGTCATTTTTCTAATTCCAAATATTTTCTCAATTTTCTTGCAGTTTAATATTGATGATTGAACTGAACTTTTTGAAAATGATAATATAATAAAATAGTTTTTTAAATTGTAAAACTTTATAAACAATTTATGATTAAATCAGAAGGTATTTCTATTACATACTGTGGGGTTTAACAAAAAAAGTGATCTAAAAAGTTCCAATATTACATCACTAATCTTGCATTTTATCCTACCCATTCTTAGCGATGTTCTTGAAATTGGACATGAAATATCGTTAGACTTTAACAAATTGAGAAACAAGTTTTGTTTTCTCAGAAACAAAAGAATGAATGCCAACTTAGCGAACTTTTATTAGACGATTTATTTAAATTATTGTCTTGATTCATTTTCAGCATAATTTTTTAATATTTTTTTCATGAAAATTTTCGTGAATTTTTGATAGATTTAGTAAGATTTTATAAAATAACTTCAAAATAGTAAATAAATATTAAAAAATATACATTTTTACAATAATTTTAAAATTTAACTTTGATATTGAGGAAAATAGTAACCTTGTAATATTAATTCATTAATATCTTAGATTTAGATATTTATATTTCGATTTGTTTTATGTTCATAAACACGTTTTGTCTAATTACTAAAAAAATTTGTAATAACATAAAAGTTTTCGTAAATTTATAAACTTATAAACTTTGTTAAATTAAAGAACAGCAGTAGTTAAGTAATATTCATTAGTGTCTGAGATGTAGTGCTTTTTCTCTACTAATTATTTAATTATTTATAAGTAACATATCTTTTTCTTCTAATTTTTCGTGTAATATTGAATTAATTATTTTTATTTTTTTCTAAATTTACACATATATTTGAAAACTATTTGATTCGTGTCTACATGTGTTACTTAATCACATTAAATACAGTGGAACCTCGAAAAACGAACATTTGGCTTAACGAGTAAAATGAATTGGAAGAAGAATGACTCGCTTAACGAGCGACGTTTTGCATCACGAGTGATGATGAGAAGAGAAGTAACGGATGTTTCAGTATACGAGTAACTTTTGAAACGGATTAAACTCGTTAAGCGAGGTTTCACTGTATATTATACTAATAGATTCAAGTTTTTTTTTTTAGAAAAAGTCTAACTAATCTGTAGAATACAAAATTATACACGTCTCCTTTAACATGTATAAATAAATATTGTATTTTTTTGTTTGTTCTCTTTTTCATTAAATTGAGTAACACAACACATGTCGTCTTTATGTTATTATATCCAACATATTACGTTCTTACAGCTACGGGTCATGGCTTTACGAGAAAGAAGTGAATTAACAAGGGCCATATTTCCTGCAACTTTATTACTCCGCTTGCTTTCATTTCCATTTTTTGTTTGTTTGTTTTTCATACCCCTTTTTTTCCCTTCACCATACATCGTTGATCCAATTTACAAGTGCGCATTGCAATATGAAAGAATGAATCGTTCTTTGGATGAAACGTGAAGGGTTTTTGATACAATTATTATTGTTGCAGGAGAAGTGTCCGTACCCGTGCACTTGCCCGACAAAGGAAGTCTGCGAGGAGTGCGAGGAATGTCCTAGACAGCTGGATGAGCCGTGCAGCGACGATCGACCTTGCGACCGCTTCAAGGGCCTCGTTTGCGCCTTCCTGCACGACGGGGACACCGAGGGCGTTTGCAGAGGTAACAAATGATATTTGTTATTTATAAACTGCGTAAAGAAAGAAAGAATAGTGTAGAAAAACACAATGTGAGAGTACAGTAAGAGCTTTTGTCGTAAAAGGGCGGTGCGTTCGCGTTTAATTGGATGCTTTCAGCATATTTAATTAATTTTATGAATATTAATAATAATAATACGGTCTGAATAACATTAAAGTATTAATTAATTAAGTCTAGAGATTTTGTAATTGAGTTACGTTTGATGCTAAAGGTTTCAAAGTGGAATAAGGAACGTAAAAATGTTAGTAAATTACAACAGTTCTATAATAGCAATGTACATTTTCTAAAGTGCTTACTTGTGAAGTAAAGTGTAAAGTAAATTTACTTACTGAAATATTCGTACTTTGTGGATATAATCATTTGCTAAATACACATTTACATTTGGCAAATTGTATTCTTAATTATTAATATAATGCGTGCATAGAAGTTATTTGCATTTGTTTCTTATGATTAAACATTGCACAAAAGAGAGATAATACAAATATAATATATATGAAAGTGTACGTTTTTTTAATATTTTAATTTAATATTATAATGATTATAGAATAATTGCTCGAAAAAATAGATAAAGCTATCTGCCCCTGGATATACACGGTAGATAGGTTTCTGAGAAAAACGTGTAAATCGAAATTGTAACTTTTTGAATGTAAAACAGCGACTACATCGAAAAGTATACGAAAAACGCGAAAACATGTAAAGAAAGTACCGTGTAAAACAGTGTTATAATTATTTTTTCTATTTTAACTATTTAGTTGGTAACAAAATGTAATTTACAACTTATTATTTGCCATTTAGTTTATTTTTAATATAGATTTAATCGAATTGCATTTTCT